AAAAGCATGATAAAAGTCTTCTCCACTTCTGTAAGTCTTATAAAAACTTCGCTTTTCTTGCGTTGTTTCATTATAACTCACTACAGTGTTGCATAATTTATATGCTGATAAAAGACATATTGGCGCCACGAAACATGTTCAATCATTCTTATGGGATCGTAAATCCTAGATCATCTTACAGCCCCGCACTGAATTAATTAATTCGATATGTTCCTTCTCTCTCTCTGTTTAGTATTTTTCGTACCAAACGAATTACTAGTGTGTCTTTGTAACATTAGATGGCGTTGCCGCCTGATGATTCAATTATGGTTGCTATGGTAACGAACTTTCAACTCATAATTTATGTGATTTGTATTCTATTCTTTTTTGTTTTATTAATTGCTACTGTGCTTGGAGTGATGTGAGCTGTGTCGTCACGTGGACGGCATTCCTTCTATTTCAAAGTGTTATGTAAAATAAACAAGTGATATATTACAGTCCGCTTACCTTTTTTTTGTGAACTTATTCTTAACATTCCTGGTCCGTAGCGACCGGAGAGAAGAGTTAGCGATCTTTGGATATGATGTGATTTATTCAAATATTAGCAAGTTAAATCACTTTCGATTTGTGATTAATAACAAGCTTAGTGTTCTTTCGATTCGATTTGTGGAATATTCCCGTGGTATGGTGTAGCGTAGAAACCTCAACATTGGGGGTGAGTACGTTCCAATATTTCATCTTCTTTTGCTAGAGTTGTTAGTATAATATTTATTGTTATTCATAATGGCTGATTTGAAACCAGTTTTAACTAAAAAGAAGGTTCTAAAAAGCAATATAACAACGTTTAAAGGCAAGGTAAATTCGAATTTAGAACAAGCAGAAATTTTAGAGGTAAAGTTGTTCGAAACGAAACTAAATGCTTTTAACAGTGAGCTTCGTTCTATTTATGAGGAAATATTTTTGTTGTGTCCTGAAAAAGATTGTGATACATTCATTACGGAACAACAAACAATACAAGAAACTTTAGATGAATTATGGATAACTATAAATAAAAAGTTACAGAAACTTTCCAGTGACTCTGTTATCGAAACAAGTAGTGTAGCAAAAGTAAATTCGTCTGACGTTCGATTACCAAAATTAGAACTTTCTACCTTTACAGGGGAAAATATAGATGAGTGGATTAGTTTCTATGATCTTTTTAAGGCTAGTGTAGATAACAATCCGAATATTTCTAAATGTCAGAAGTTTTCAATATTTAAAGGCTTCTTGTAAAAAAAAAGGCTCTGTCTATTATTGAGTCAATTCCTATTTCTGATGCTAATTATGATATAGCGTTGCAACTTTTACAGGAACGTTATTCTAATAAAAGAGAATTAACTAATGCATTAATCCGTAAAATGTTTAATTTGCCAAATGTTTCTGATTCAGCTCAAGCTATTTTACATTGTGTTGATGTAGTGAATGAATGTATACGCTCTTTGAAAAAAAACTCTTAAGCTAGAAGTTTCTGATCTTTCTGATGTTCTTTTTTTTTATCTGATAACTGAGAAATTAGATAAAAACATAAAATTTTGGTGGGAAAGAACTTTGAAAAAAGATGAATTAGGTACTTTAGATAATTTACTCGAGTTTCTAAAAGACCACGCTAGAACCCTTCAGAATAGTAGAAACCAATCTAAAGATTTTAGGAAATTTTCTAATTCCAAATTAACTTCTTTAGTGTCGAGTAAAAACAGTTGTATAATGTGCAAGGAAGATCATTCTCTTCACAAATGTGGTAAGTTTTTAAACTTAAGTGTCCAAAAAAGAATCGAATTTGTTAAGAAACACAAACTTTGTTTTAATTGTTTATCTTCTCAGCCTCATTTAGTGAAAAACTGTCGTAGTTTACATAAATGTATGACGTGTAAGTTACCTCATCATATACTGTTCTTCATTTTGATCGAAATATCAAAACTAGTGAAAATGAGAAACCAAAACAAACGTCCTCACTCACTCTCCCCCAAAGCCGAAGTGTTCTTACCAAAGAATGAAGTCGTTACAAATGCCACAACATGTACAGGACAATTTAGTTATTCTAAAGGTGAATCAAAACGTGTATTACTGTGTACTGCTCTCATTAAAGTTAGTGATTCCAATGGTAAAGCCATCCCTTGCAGGGCTTTACTAGACTGTGGCAGTGAAGCCAGCTTTATAAGTGAAGAGTGTGTCAGTAAAACTAAAGTTAGGTAGATTTAACAAAAAAATTGAAGTATCGTGCCTTGGTTCGTTCAACACTGTAACAAGTGGAGAAGTGGAATTAATCTTTACCCCGCACTTTGAGTCAAATTCCAAATTTCGAACATATGCATTCGTGATTCCAAGGATAACTTCAGATGTGCCTAACGTGTCGCTTCCTTCTAAAATTGCGAATCATTTTGACGATCTAGTCTTAGCTGATCCTAAGTTCTATGAAAGAAAACCTATAGATATTTTGTTAGGTGTAAATGTATTTTTTACTATGCTTAAGGGAGACATCATAAAGAGAGGAGAATCATTACCCTTTGCAATTTGTTCTCAGTTGGGTTGGATCATTTCCGGGAACACTATTACTGATGATTCGAATCTAACTAACACTTTTACAGTGAATAATCTTCAGTTGAATACAAACGAATTAGTTGAAAGATTTTGGTCTTTAGACTCCATTCCTGGAAGTCAAACGTATTTCAAGTGAAGATAAAAAATGTGAAGAGTTTCTTTAAAACAACACACTTCCGTGATCAAAATGGTCGTTATGTAGTGAAACTTCCATTTAAAGATAACCCTTCAAGGTTGGGTAATTCTAAAGATCTTGCTTTACAAAGATTTAAATCTTTAGAGAGAAATCTCTTAAGATCTCCTGATACATATGATATGTATAAAAACATTTCATGAAGGAATACTTGGATCTCGGGCACATGGAACCAGTCCGTAGTTCAGAGTCCCAAGTCAGGCATACTACATGCCACATCATGCAGTAATTAAGGAATCTAGCTCTACGAGTAAAATACGTGTGGTATTTAATGCTACTAGTAAGTCTTCATCAGGACTGTCTCTTAACGACATATTGATGACAGGTCCCAGAATACAACAAGAGCTGTTTCCAGTTTTGGTCAAATTCAGATGTTACCCAGTAGTTGTCACAGCTGATATCATGAAAATGTTTAGACAAATTCTAGTTAATGAAGAGGATAGAAACTTTCAAAGGATATTTTGGCGGGACAGTCCAAGTGATCCTATTCAAGAATTTCGACTTAATACTGTCACATATGGCACTGCCCTGGCCCCATATTTGGCTACTTGTGCTTTATATCAACTTGCCTACGATGAGCAGAATAACTATCCTTTAGCTTCGAAGGCTGTACTTCAAAACTTTTTTGTAGATGATTATTTAGTAGGTGCTCGAAACACTGAAGCATGCAAAAATCTAGTAAATCAACTCTTGCGAATGTTGAAACGTGGATGATTTCTTCTGTGTAAATGGTCATCCAATGACTTGTCAGTATTAGAGAATATACTCAAGGAGTTGAGAAAGGATTCTGAGGCTATGAAAATTAAAGACGATAGCTCAATCAAAGTTTTAGAAATTAATTGGAACCCCCCCGTGAAGACTACTTTAACTTTTCCGTATCCATTTCTGGTGAAAAAGCTTAAATACTCTAAAAGAGATATCCTTTCTGATTTAGCGAAAATATTTGACCCATTGGGTTGGGCTTGCTCCTTGTATTATTTATGTCAAAATCTTGATACAAGACATGTGGAAACTCCATTTATCGTGGGATGAACCTGTTAGTGATGAGATTGCTAACAAATGGAAGACTTTCCGAAATGATTTACATCTTATTCAACAATTAAAAATACCGAGATTTGTTTTGATTCCTGATGTGAACTATATTGATATCTGTGCTTTTTGTGATGCCTCCGAGAAAGGCTACTGTGCAGCAATTTATTTGCGTTCAGTGTCACGTAATTTGGACATCAAAGTAACACTCTTAACATCAAAAACAAGAGTTGCCCCTCTGAAAGTGCAATCATTACCTCGATTAGAGTTATGCGCCGCAGTTTTGTTAGTGAATTTGCTTAAATCAGTGTTAGAACATTTAGAGTTTCCTATACGTAAAGTTTTGGCCTGGACAGATTCAACTGTTGTACTGTCCTGGATTTCTGCAGAACCATACCGTTGGGTTCCCTTTGTTGCAAACCGCGTTGCTAAAATACAGAATACAATTCCTAATGTAAGGTGGAACCATATCAATGGAAAGCGGAACCCAGCTGATTCAGGTACAAGAGGAATGTTTCCAGCAGAATTTCTGAAGTGTGAACGATGGTTCATTGGACCTACTTGGTTATATTCACAAAGATTTCGAACCATGTCCTGACAGTGAACATCTTTCTGATGTAGATTATGAAGGAGTTCGTAGAGAAGAAAGAAAAACTTGCATTTCAGTATCTTGTGCGGCAAAGGAAAATGACATTTTTAAAAACGGTATTCATCTTGGACAAAATTACGTCGTATAGTTGCATTATGCCTAAGATTTATTTACAACTGTCGAAACTTCTCCGAAAATCGTTTGAGAGGTTTTCTGACAACCGATGAGCTTCGATTAGCTACAAAAACAGTGATAAAAAATGTCCAAGAATCATATTTTCCTCAAGAGCTCTCTTATTTAAAAACATCGAGAGAATTAAAAGGTGTGAGCAGCCGAGTAATACAATTAACTCCCTTCCTTGATGAAGAAGGCGTCATTCGAGTAGGTGGTCGCTTAAAAAATGCAAACATTCCTGAAAATAGCAAACATCCTATTTTGCTTCCAAAGGAAGGACATGTCACTAATCTCATCGTAACTCATTACCATGTCAATTGTTTGCATGCTAGTCAAGAATTATTAATAAGCACTTTACGAATGCAGTTTTGGATTCTTGCGGTGAGAAGCGTAGTGAGAAAGATTATTCACAGATGTATTCCTTGTATTAGAAATCGAGGCAAGACTGTGACCCAGATAATGGGTGATTTACCCTCGCCCAGAGTTCAACCATCAAGACCTTTTGCAGTCACCGGTGTTGACTATGCTGGTCCATATTCTATTAAGTCCCAAGTTGGGAGAAGAACAAAAACTTTCAAGTGTTACATATCCATTTTTGTGTGTTTCTCAACAAAAGCTGTACACTTGGAGTTAGTCAGTGATTTATCAACTTCAACGTTTTTAGCAGCTCTAAAAAGATTTATCGCCCGACGAGGCAAACCATCTAAAATTTCGAGTGACTGTGCTACTAACTTCAAAGGTGCTAGTAAGGAACTGAAGGAGATTTATAAAAATGCAGCTCGCATTGAGAAAAGCAGTGAATTATGTGACTACATTACCTCAGAAGGTATAACTTGGTTATTTAATCCTCCGACATCTCCTCACTACGGTGGGTTGTGGGAATCTAATGTGAAATCCATGAAATTTCATCTTAAACGAGTATTAGGATCCAAACTTCTAACTTACGAGGAATTTTTAACAGTGCTTACACAAGTGGAAGCGTGTATGAATTCCCGTCCTCTTTGTGCGATGTCTAGTGATCCAAACGACTTTAGTGCATTGACTCCAGGTCATTTTCTGATTGGAGCCCCTTTGCTTGCCATTCCGGAATCTGACTTGAGTGATGTGAAATCTTCACGACTTAAACGTTGGTCTCTAGTTCAACAGACTGTGTGCAACATTTTTGGAAACGATGGTGTGCAGAATATTTAACAACACTTCAACAACGTGCTAAGTGGTTTCGTGCGTCTCCAAATCTAAAATGTGGTGATTTAGTTCTGATCAAAAACGAACAACTGCCTCCAAACCAATGGAAAATTGGAAGAATTGCCTTAATTCATCCAGGTAGTGATAAAAAAGGTTCGAGTGGCTACAATCCATACAGCCGCTGGTGATTTCAAACGAGCTGTTACTAAATTGTGTCTTATCCCCAATCATGACTAATATGAGCTATGAACTATTGACTTTTTCATATTATTGAACTTTAATTTTAGTTATATTTTCAATTAAATTTTTTGTTAATGTTATTATGTATGCTTTAACTATTTGTCATTTTTGAACCCTTAGAAGGCTTCAAGGCCGGGGGCTATGTTTAGTATTTTTCGTACCAAACGAATTACTAGTGTGTCTTTGCAACATTAGATGGCGTTGCCGCCTGATGATTCAATTCTGGTTGCTATGGTAACGAACTTTCAACTCATAATTTATGTGATTTGTATTCTATTCTTTTTTGTTTTATTAATTGCTACTGTGCTTGGAGTGATGTGAGCTGTGTCGTCACATGGACGGCATTCCTTCTATTTCAAAGTGTTATGTAAAATAAACAAGTGATATATTACAGTCCACTTACCTTTTTTTTATGAACTAAATCATAACACTCTCTCTTTTCTGAACGGTAACTGTATCATGTACTCTGATTGCAAGCTTTAGGTACCATTATTTTTCCCAGTCTTCATACACTGACGCAGAAAGTAGGAAACATTTGGGTATTTTTGATTCTGTACGCATTTAATTGAGAAATTTTCCATGTGAATTATTGTCTAATTTTCAAAATCCTTTCCACATGCACTCAAAATATTAAAGGAATTTTTCGATTATCTTTCAGTCTTTCAATAACGAAAATTTAGAAAAAAATTTAAAATAACTGTTTTTTTTTTCGGCCGACTTAAGAAAATATGCAAAAATTTACTGGTAACGAATACTTAGAGATGTGGCAATACACATAAATAAATTAATAAAAATTCAAAATACGGGTACTGAGTGACAAGTACTTTCTGTTTTGAAAGGAGTTGTGAGGCGACCTCCATTTTCTGCTATTGATTGGATTTTACTTTCAAACTTACGTATGCTGTCTCATTCATATAGTAGTTAGCAAAAGCTTTGTTGCCCAGCCGAAGGCGATTCCTTATGCTTCTTCCCCCATTTCGTAAATACAGCCTCGTTCTGTCTCGTGTAGTGCACCCTCAAGAATCTTCTGTGCAATGAAACAATGAAATGGCTGTTGAGCTTAGCCAAACCCCGCAGAATTCCTAATCAGAAAGCATTCGGAATCAGAAAACAGAAAAGTGTGTTACGGTTTAATTGCCTATCTTATAGTCTCACTAACTTATCACCAAATTACGAAATGAGATTAGACAGCTTTACTTCAGTAATAAAAGCATATTTAAAAAATTGCCTGTATCGAAAGCGCGAATCCAGTCTGAAACTTTATAACTTTTGAACTTAAACGGAATCTTAAGAATTATTCTAATAATCAATTTATGTTTCTTTGCTATTCATAAACTTACGGTCTTAATTGAAAGACCCGGAAACGAAGTATCATCCTTAAAACCTTCATTCGTTAAAGCTTCCGAGATTTGCTTAATTTTATACGCATTCCCTAAGGAAGTTGTGTGTGATGTCTCTTCATGAGTCATAAATTCAAAGATCATTTCGTTTCAGGAGTCAAGGTTGGGAGAGCATTAGAATTTCAAAGCAAAACTTCAAGATTTCTTAGAACATAGAAATAACATTTATTAACGATAAACTTATATTACTTCCGCCTATAGCGGCCATGAAACATAATCAAGCATCAAATAAATATGACATGCGTCATTGTTCATGTTCAAGCGTCAAGTGAAATATTTTTCATCGGCGCGCATCAAGAGCGCCACCTATCTACCAAAAAGACGGAACATACTCCGCCCCGATGAACATTGGTTCATTACAACATTATTATAAAAATCTTCAATTTTAGATTCAAACAAGTTTTCCAAAGTTCAACAGTATATCATATAAAATAAAAATGCATAATGACAAATTTAAATTGAATAACAACATTAAATTTAGCACAAAATTTTACAAATAAAACATACTTACAATCTCTAGAAGGAAAACAAAATAATGAAACTGCTAAATTACCATAATCCACAATTGTGGTCCATTCTCTGAATCTGAAACATAATTGAATTAATAATAATAATAAAGACACAAATTATGAATATACAATTAATGTTTTTTTTTTTTTTTTTTTTTTTTAGAGTCTTATTCACTCAATGGTAAGCGGGAAAGTTTATGTATAGGACGCTTCATTTCGCCCAATAAAGTTTTTAGTTTCACAACACGAACTTTTCCATCAGCACCAGGATATAGTTCAATTACTCGTCCAAGTCGCCACTTTAATGGAGGCAAATTTTCGTCCTTTATCAAGACTAAGTCATTGAGGGCTAAATTTGGTTTATCCCTCAACCATTTGGTACGCCCTTGTAATTGTGAAAGATAATCTCTAGACCAACGTTTCCAAAAGCTCTGGAAAATTTGCTGTGTCAATTTCCATCTTTCAGCAGGGGTTAGCTTATTATTTGTAAGATCAGGTTCAGGAATTGCTGTTAATGTAGTCCCAATTAGGAAATGTCCAGGTGTTAAAGGATTAAAATCTTCAGGGTCAGATGAGATGGAAACTATTGGCCTTGAATTCAAACACGCCTCGATCTGTGTAATTAAGGTGTGAAATTCTTCGTATGTCAGAACCTGGGTCCCAATAGTCCGCTTTAAGTGAATCTTCATTTGTTTCACTCCAGCCTCCCAAAGGCCTCCAAAGTGAGGGGCAGCAGGAGGATTGAAGATCCATTGAATATTTTCACCGCTCAGGTAGTTTTGAAATGCTTCGTCAGAGGAAAGTGTAGCTATGTATCTTCTTAATTCTCGATCAGCCCCAACAAAGTTGGTTCCTCTATCGGAAAAGATTTTCTTGGGTTTTCCTCTGCGTGACACAAATCTTTTCAGAGATGCTAGGAATGCTTCAGTTGTTAGATCACTGACCACTTCTAGGTGAATGGCCTTTGTGGTGAAGCATATGTAAAGGCAAACGTAACATTTATATCTCGTTCCTCCTCTTCCTTTCCTAGCTTTAATTAAAAAGGGGCCTGCAAAATCTAGTCCTGTATTCGAGAATGTTCTATCCGGCAATACGCGAGAAGCAGGTAGGTCGCCCATTATCTGACTGGATGTGCTTGTTCGATTTTTAAAACATTTTATACATTTCCAAATTATTTTTCTTACAATTTCTCGGCCATTAACGATCCAATATTTCTGTCGCAGAGCAGATAATGTTAATGTGGCTCCTCCGTGAAGGTTCACTTCGTGAAAGTGTTTGACTATCAATTCAGTAACTTGGTGACTTTTGGGAAGAATGATTGGATACTTTGTGTTTTCTGAAAGATTCGAGTTACAGAGTCTACCACCGACTCTAAGGATTTCTTCTCTATCAAGAAAAGGATTTAATTTCAGGATTTTACTGCTGAGATTCAATTTCTTCCCTGCTTTCAAAAGTCTAATTTCTTCTCTAAATTCGGAATTTTGCATGATTTTAAAAATCAAATTGCTTGCCTTATCCAATTCTTGAACTGTTAAAAAACCCTTGAGTTTTAAAGATGTAGGTTTAATATTGTGGCAGAATCTTAAACACCATGCAGTTACGCGTTTCAATTTTTTCCAGGATGAAAACCTGGATGTCAATTCAAATTCAGCCTCTTGGCTAATAACAGAACATACAGTAGTTTGACGCTGTTCTACCTGTACCTCTTCCACCATAGGCTCGATCAAAGGATCAAAAGATGATGAAGGTAAAATTTTTCTCTTTTAACCACACTGGTCCATTGAACCAAAGTTTATTTTCCACTAGATCAGAAGCTCTTAATCCACGTGAAACTATGTCAGCCGGATTGTCATTTCCCTTACAGTATTTCCATTGCGAAGGTGATACAACATCTTGTATTTCACGTACACGATTAGCAACAAAGGGTTTCCATTTATCAGCGGTACCCCTGATCCAGTGAAGAACAATTTTAGAGTCACTAAAACAAAATACATTATCTTCTTGGATATTAAATAATTTCCTTAAATATTTAACTATTCTTGCGGCAATAATGGCTCCCATAAGTTCTAAACGAGGCAAGGTTAATTTTTTAAGTGGGGATACACGGCTCTTTGAAAGAACAAAAGACGTACAGCAAGAATCAGGATCACGAAAATATGCAACAGCTCCATATCCCTTGAGGCTGGCGTCACAAAAGACAAAAAGCTCTATTTTATCGAAATTTACACATTCATCATTTAATATGTATTTTCTAGGAATACACAAGTTGAGAATAACTTCAATTTCAAAGTACCAAGTTTTAAATTTTTCACTCAAATAGCTGGGCAAAATTGTGTCCCAATCAATACCCAATTCCCATAACTCTTGTAATAAGAATTTTATTCTGATAACAAAGGGTGCAATGAATCCAACTGGGTCATAAATTTTTGCCACAATCTGTAATACCTTTCGCTTTGTAACGTGTTTCCAGTCAACTGGTTGTAAAAGTTCTTGTACATCTAATTTCAATGTGTCCTCATCCAAATCCCAAATTATTCCCAGCACCTTTAACGTTTTCTTATCCAAATTATCTTCCTTATTAATTAAACCAATATCTTGCCAATGATTTTTTAAAGATACGGAATTTGATTCAAATTTTCTTAAGTTCATACCAGCGTCTTGAAGAATTTTAACTGCATCAGTTGATAATGAGAAAACTTCTTCAACGGAGTCTGCTCCATGGATAAGGTCATCAACATATAAGGACTTATTTAACATGTCAACAGCTTTGCTATATTTCTTTTCATAACCCTTAATATGATGTTTGATAGTGGCGGACAAAATAAACGGACTTGTTGTCATTCCAAACGGCACTCGG